TGTGTGTGTGTGTGTGTGTGTGAGCCAGACACATCTCACAATCGTCACCTTCGCACTCGAGCAGGAGATTGCAAAATCTGTGCTCCATGTTGGTCAGTCATCTAGACATCACCAGGGGGGGGGGTTGAAAAATACATGTACCTCTCAACATCGATCAAGTCAAAGCGATAGGTTGAAATCATGATCAGACAACTTGAAATGACACTCGGACAACTCGAATTTAAAAGATATAGGTTACTCTAGGATCGGTTTGGTTCAGTCAACCAGATGCCACTATCAGGCGGGGCGGTGGTATCGTCACTAAATTATCACCCCGGTGGACATGTGTTCGAATCCCACCATTATCATAAAAATTGAAAATGGACCCTGGCGTCAAGTTAGCTGAGTCTGGACGCATCATCCTGATGATTTATCGAGACTCATTCTTCTCGAATCCACTCCCGAACTGTAAATGAGGTTTGCCTTGTATAACCGATCACCATCGCCTAATTGTGCCCATTTGTGCGTTGTCTGTCAGCCCGGGTTTGATTGGCCGTTTCCCCCCTTCGTGACAATGGTCTCATTCAATGTATTCAATAAAGGGAAGTAAAAAATGAAAAACAAGCCATCCTCTCTGAGTGATCCGGCCTCCACTTGACTGACCTCCTTGGAAGTGAACCCCGACTGTATATAAATGCTTGTATACCTGTATAGATACAGTCCTGTCTTACTGAAATTATGACACATATTGATAACAAGATTTGCCCAAGTGTTTTACTCTTCGTACGCTCAGGTGCACAACTGTAACTGCTTACCGTATACGATACTCGTAACCACCGCAAAGCTCGGTGCAAAGGCACGTGATCACTGTCCCGAACAAAGCGGTGCAATTTGGTCCGTTAAAGTTACGCATGATCATATTCTCTATTCGCAGTCCCGGAGACCATGGTGGAATCACCGCACGTGAGTTGCATCGATCGCCGGTGGGTGTCAAACTGTCCTCATGTGCGACCACATAGACATTCTGCATGCAGTGAGTACAATGTGGAAAATAATCAAAAGGGAGAAAGTTTTAAGGAGCACGACTGGTGAGTTCAAGCAAAGCACCGATTACTACAATAATGGGAATCATAACTCTGATTGAAACAAATAGAGTATTCCATAGTGAGTAAATCCGTATGCAACTCACAGCTGTTTGTGAGTAGTGATGTGGGATAAGTTATATTTATGAAGGACTAACTGATTGATTAAATCATTTCTTGGTGAGAGGGTGGGACAGCCAGTAAATGAAATGTGAATAGTATCTGTTTCAGGTGTACAACTCACTTTGTATAATGGTCCGGTCATCGGATCGTACAAATTACCGAGTTTCAGAATTTTTCCCTCAATCCCTGCCTCGACATTGTTGACCAGTAACATGTCCTGAAATTGTACGCCACCGCAGTTGACACACTCCGGACCTTTACCATTATTCCAAGCGAATAGTTGACGAAACACAGCTTTGTCCCATCGGGTTGAACCACATCTGTGTGTGTAGAAAATAGCACGTTTTCTTAGGCCGAATTGGATAGAACAATAAATAACTGTTATGGTTATCTGTGGTACGCACAAATCGGCTAGGGAAATCTGGATTTTCCCTCTCACATACAAATTGCGCTGACGTTCATGTTACACGAATTACACCCGTGTTCAGTGATGACTAACTTTTCAGGTTACACCTCATTTAGCTGACAAATCCCTAATACAAACAAATCAAATCCTCTATTACTTTCCTACAACCAACAGTCAGGTTGTGGCAGTTTCCAACGGAGTCATAGCCCTGGAGGCTAGTACTGAGATGAGCGAGGTCCGTCGTCCCCAACAGGCTCGCAAAGATAGGTTGTGCTATATCTTGTATAATTCAGATGAGAAATGCTCTGATTAGATGCCCGGTGATCTAGTGGGTAGTATGATTGTATTCTAGCTGTGAGGTCCCGGGTTCGTTCCCCAGTTGGGTTGATTGATTCACGCACCGCTGATGAGGCCCAACCAGGTCGAAACAGTAGTCCAGTGCTTCCCAGCTTTTCAACTCACACCTCATCTACACGACGAATTCATAA